GCTGAGTTTCACATTATTCTATAAAGAGCATTTATAAGATCAGCACCAATTCCAACACACAAAACTGGACCAAGAAATCTAAATAAAAGTGTTTAATTATGACATTATAAAACACTGACTTAACTTTACAAACAGAGTAGTGACAGTACTGAAAATAAACTTGCTGTTGTTGTATATTCTGCCCTTACATTTTACAGAAATGTTCCATCCTTTCTCCAAACGCAGTCAGATTCCCTTGCAGTCTCTCTCAGAAACTGCTGGAGCAGAAGATGAAGGGGTTTGTGGGTCTGTTTGTTCTTATTTTAATCTCACCAGTACCCACGCTGTTTTATGTCACAAAATAATGAGATTGCTAATGTTCATCTTAAAATAAAAGGCATTCTGAAGTTTTTTTCATCTTTCTAATTTGGAAACTGATGAAGCCACCAGCTCTGGTATCTTCATCTATGAGCCAATCCACACACTTTAGATATTTGCTATTGCATCTAATGATGGTTATGTGTAAAATCCAGAAAGTCCTGGGAACCAGAACTCCCCTTTTTAGCTAAATCTGGTAACATTTAGGCTACTGAATAAAAATTTTTGTAGTCCCTCTCTAGCCTAATGAATCTTAGGGGATTTTTGTATATGTGAAGCAGCGTGTATTCAGCAGAAAGGATAAAAGCTATTTTATCTATCCCAACTAACCCAACAGCAAGGAGATTAAAGAACTCTCCTAGGCAATGAGAATTGTGGGTGGCACCTTCCTTGTGGCACCGGAAGAACTAAACACTGGGAACTGAGTGTGGGTGATGAGGATGCACAGCCTTTTGGCAGCGACATTTGTGAGAGCAGAGAAAGGCCATGATAAGGTGAGGGAAACTTCAGATTTTTCTAGTACTGATTAAGTGAGAAACACCCACCCTGTGCAGTGAAGGCTATTATCACCATTGCAATTAGAAATTGTAAAAATGAACGGGACCTGGGCAGAAGTCTGCAGTCAACACTGTAGAGCTTCTACTAAGGTACAGCTTGTGGCCCAGGGCCACCACTAGCACACCAATAGCTGCTCTGATGACAAGAACTTGGGAGCAATTACCAGCATTAGTGCTGAGAAGATGACTATTGCCTCCTCAAAAAATTACCGCTGACAGAGCCAGCATGAACAGGGGAGCCACAAAGATACTTGTAGCAACGAGTCACTGATGTAAGGAAGGAAGAGCTGTTAGTTTTCTAACCAGCCAGGACAGCTGAGTAGTTAAACAACTAATGCTTTTGAACATTCTTCTTCTGCTGGCACTTGAAAATCAAAATAAAACCTTTCACCTTACTGCTGGACAGTTTTGATGTAAACATTGTATGCATACAACTTCGTAAAGTATCTAATGTACAGGCTTTGAAACTATAGGTGCATTTACAATAGGTCCCAACTAGCAAAGACAGCACTTTCATGCAGGCATCTCAGCTCATTGTGGGGAAACTGCTCTGCCTCTCCTGGCATTTTCCTGAAGTTCCTAACAGTGACTAGAATTTTGCAGTCTTGAGTGTGAGACTGAGTAAATTCATTTCATGTTATTCTGCTATTCTGTCACTTTGATCGAGTGATACCAGCTTAGTCTGAGTTCACATTATGGGCAGAAGTATTGCTTGTCTTTTTTCCCCCGAATTGGGAGTTACCCATTCACCCTCTTTTTGTACAAGACTACCTGGGACAGAATGCAGAATTAATACTTACGCTGACTAAGAGAGAAAAATCAGTCACCAACTGGCTAAGCTGAATCAAGTCCTACAAATAAAAAACAAATGTTATTTTGTAATAGTTCCTAAGAACAAGAGTACCAACGAGGCAGTAAGGGAGTTTCAACATACCTCTTCCAAAGATTCCCAGGACTCAGATGCATTTTCTTCCTGAGGTATTTCAGGAAGGCGGGAGTAGATCTGGATTAAACTTTGGGAGCCATCCTTCACCTCTGTGTTATATAAAGTTTCTGAATGAGAAATATGATGTTTATAAATAAACACACTGGATCAGAATGCAGGTGATGTGCAAAGTTTCTCAGCCTTCATATTTTTCAAGGATAAATTGGTATTTAACCTAATTCAAGCCAAGCAACAGCCCTCAAAATGATCATATAGGGAAAAGTCTTACTGGCAGCACTAGACAGTTTCTTAAAAGAAAGTTATTGTCAAATAAATTAATTCATTTCTATCAGCACCCTTTCACAATCAGTTCTGGGAATGACATTAAATTATACTCCTGAATTTAAGCTCAGTTAATTAATTTTTTTTCAACCAAACTACAAAAACTCAGTTTGGGACAAAATCTTTTCATTTACATACAAGACATAAAAACACTGCACTTCCAAAACTGAAAACACAGTTACTCATTTTATGATTGATTATTATGCTACCGGTTTGATTGTCAGCCATTTGGGACTAAAGGAAGCTGGAGGAAAAAGCTTTCAAAGCAAAGCACTGAAAACCAAGTAACATGCTGCCCAGCATTCAATGCTGGATCCAGTTGGGAAACAGTTCTGTGAGGATGGCAAACATTTGCAGCTCAGCAGCGTAAAGGAGATAGATAGTCTCAAGTATCTTCCTTTCTAAGTCACCTGGATTGCGTGCAGAAGGCATCAGAACAAAGTACGGTGTAAAAAAGGGGGCATAAGAGACAGCGAGGTGGCATGGGGGACAGCAGCTACAATGCACAGGCACACACGTACCTCCTCTGGTCAGAGCCCAGGTTTGAGCCACTATGGATGTAATGGACATGTGCATAATTATGGACAAGTAATTAAGAGGCAATAAAGAATAATAACAAACAAGTTTGGCTTGTCATAGAGCAAGGATTAAGGAAGGGCTTGAGAGTACGAAAGGCAGACTGGAGAATGTATGTATGTAAACACAATGCAAAGGTTGTTAATTTAGACAACTTCAATGTCTGAAGGAAGGCAGCTACTTTAGTAGGACACTGATGTTTCCTTCCTTTGGAGGGCAGTATCAAGAGAAAGCTTAATATGGGGAAGACTGGTTAGATATTAAAATGTAAATATTGCATTAAAATCTTTACAAAAAAACAAATGTGCCAAGGTACTATAATAATAATACATAACTGTTACTACAATGGATATGAACAATTGAAAATAAATAATCATATTCAATAAAAAGTCAGTAATAGTGCATGCTTACTCATGGAATTAATTTAAGATAAAATAAAAATGATACATTTTCATAAAATTTGTCCATTTCTCATCATTTTTATCCCAGTATCTCAAAATACATTAAGGACCTAATCTTCCTACTCTTAGATCAATAGAAGTCTAACATCAATGAAGCTGATACTCAGCTGCAATTACCAAGTAAGCAGAACAGTGGAGTAACAAGGACGGAGTAAGTGCTTTGGTGTTTTATTTTGGGCTTGTTTTTCTTTCTAATTTTTTCTACATATTTTCCTTTAAGAATCCAGAATATGGAAGGCACTTCACCTCCTACAGTCATCACCTGCTCTCACAGAACATATTTTTGACCTACAGCATCAGACTAATTAATGTTATGTACTCGGTTCTGAAATATTTATTTTCCCTTTTCATCATAATTAATCATATATCCAAATGTGTCCATTTTTGGATAAACCAATTCTGCTACATATTCTGATATTTAACATTGGGTTTGAGCATTTTATTCCATTTCAATTCTTCACGATCCTTATTTCAAAACCAAGATGCTTTTCCCAAGAAAAGCATACTCTTCCCTCATCAGCCACATGCACGCTAAGTTGGTTGAAATTAAAATATTTGTAATTCAAAAGGTAAAAAAAAGCTCACTAAGCAAAATTGCCTCCTCACAAATTACGTTCCCTATTCTGGTCTGTCCTTAACAATCTATGCTGACCTGTTGTAGAAAGGCACATCCTTCAACATACGTGAATGATACTGAATTTTTGCAGGACACACGTTCAAAAGAACTTAAAACTATAAGTAGGTTTACACTGATATAATTTTCTAATAACTAAAGATTAGTGGAAAAAAATTCCTCAAGAAAATTCTTTACTCACTTCAGAAAACGAAGGAATGAAAAGGTTAAGAGAAAGTGAAGTCACATTTGGGCTGAAAGTATGAGTAAGAAATTTATATTCACTAGTTCATGTTTTATCAAGTCTAACCAATTTTAATAGAACTGAGAATGGAAGTGGCTCCACCAGTTCCCTTACAGCATCTCCACAGAAATGCAGTAATACAAAATACCTCTGCAGATTTCTGAGAGCAGCTTCGCACCTCATTACACTCAAGATAAAAATCTAATGCTCTGGAAGATTCAATATGTTGCTTAAAAGATTTTAGTAATTTTAAGAGTGGAGTCTCACCTTTTGTTAATATTTGTTTAAAATGCAATTAAATTCCATTTCTATTGGACCTGAGCTGAGGATGGTGAAGGGGGGAAGGGACCACATCATTTCATGCCTTCTAAATGGGCGATTTGAATTTGTAAACTCCCTTCTCTACCAGATGGGAAGCAACATGCTACAAAGAATGGGCACACTGAAACTCCTTTGATTAAGATCAGCAGCCAAGATTTGCTTTCAGGACTGCAGCCTCTAAGCACAAAAGAACAGGCAATATATTGCATCTGTGTTAGCAATTCACCAGAGCTGCTTTCACAGTCAGGCAAACCTGAAAAAAACTAGCCTTTTAATTGTATTTAGTTGTCTGCCTGCCTGTATGTTTCACCTTAAATGGGCTGACTTATTTCTGTATCCTTGATGGGACTCGCAGGAGCGTGTCATTCCAGTGATATTTTTCTGTTCTTCTCACCCCAATCTTTCTGATCAGTTTCTCGTCTTTCTGAAGAGCAGTTACGCTCAATGTCCTCCATACTTTAAAGGTATTTCAGATTAAAAAAGCAGTCCTGTTCTTTGAAATTAAACTCTAGTTCCCATTTACCACCTATGTAACTGTTAGAAAAGCAATAAGCCAGGACAAGGCCTTTCCGATGAAACACCAGAATGTACTGAGGACAACTGCAGAAAGTTGCCAAAAGAAGAGATATTTTACATTCAATTCTAATCGTAACAGGGAAGAGCTCGCAAAGAGCCTGAAAGTCATGGCTAATATGGATGAAGGGGATCACTGAATACCAGAGTTCACTATTCTAAAACTCAGAGTAAAAGACTGAAGACAATGAGCTCCCCATAAAAGAGACACCAACAAATTGAGCAAACTGATTAAGAGAAACTATGGGGAAGAAGTTCCTAAAGGATAAAGGACTGCAGAAGAGCTGGCAGACACTAATAAGATATACTGAAGATGACAGCAAGTTGTCCTGATGCAGAGGAAAATGTTTATGGCTTCAGAAGAACTCTTCAATGCCCTGAATATGAAGAATTTGACAAACAATTAAGATGAGTACAATGAATAATATAGACATGGAAAGTTAGTATCAGAAAGACTAGGACACAAATAAATTGTAGCTACCATGGGGCATAAATAGTAGCCAGAAAGTTTCTAGGAATGCCATGGAAGTTAGAGGAAGACAAATTATAAGTGCATTGCCAGGGAAAGAAAGAAAGTAACAGATGATCCAGAGAAAGATGAAGTCAGTCTTTATACAAAAAGGTAGCTGCACTTGATGCAATTAATTGAAACAACAAGAAATTAAAAAAAAAAAAGGATAGGCCGAAACATAAAAAGAACAGGTTAAAAATATTTAGATGAGGCTAGATACATTCCAGTCCTGAGGGTATGATGAAATTCACTCTAGAATATTTAAGAAACAACCTCTGGAAGTTCAAGCATATTTCTGAGAACTTGTGGAGAGTATTAAGTGGGTCCCAGAGGACTGCAAGAGAACAAACTCAGTTATTCCCTTCTGTTTTGGGAGGGGAAGGAGGACACAGCAAATATTCAGCCTTTGACACCCACAAAGATATTAGGGCAAACTACTGAACGATCGGCTAAAAGATCCTGAAGATGTTGAAAACGTCAAGATTCATACATCAAAAGCCAATTCAGTCTTTTTTATCTGCCTGTTAAAAAGATAGAAATTTTTTACAATGAGGGTGGTAAGAGGATGGAACATGGAAGATGTTGCCCAGAAAAGCTGTGGATGCCTCATCACTGGAAGCGTTCAAGGTCAGGTGGAATGGGGCTTTGGGCAACCTGATCTTGAAAGATGTTCCTGCCCATTGCAATGGGGTTGGAACTAGATGGACTTCAAAGGTCCCTTCCAACCCAAACCATTCTATGGTTCTATATTTGATATATCTTGACATTCATAAGGCTTTCTGATACCACTGCACATTGCATTCTCAAAAGCAAGCCCAGTCTTCAAATCTACTCTTCTTTTCTCCCTCTTCAACCATTAGACTCACTAGCTTGTTAATCACACTTAAAAAAGAGTTCTCGTAGTTCTTTCGATAGCAACAAGAAGGGTCATCAAATCAAATCTGATGGCAGGTTCTTCTACAATGCCATTGATTGAGAATACTCTTTCAATTTTAAGACACATGAAATCTTTAAACAATTTTAAACAATATTGCTGCTGCAGCAATCAAACTAATTACTGCTGTGTGGAAGGATTTAATCCTGATCTAGCCAACTTTCTCACAGATCGTTAGCAGAGAACACTATCTAGCACCAGCACCTAATAAGGGCTTCCCCTGAAGACAGAATGATAGAACAAGGAATGAAAGACATTTTGTACAGAAAGGAAGGGAAAACAGCAAACACATCTGACGTGTAGCATGTTATAGGGCATTTTCAAAATCTTTTATTTAAACGGATTTATACTGTTTTCTGCTTTCTTGTCAATTACCCAGATAAAATGTTACAGGAAGAGATGTTCTCCTCTATATAGATGCTTGCTCCGATTTTCCAGGTAGTTCAGCAGTGGTATATTATACTGTCTGTCATATAAAATTTGTTTTCTTCTTGATGTTGCAAGCACTAATTCAGTGAAAATGGCCTCAATGATTACTTGCACGTGATGAAGTGATTTGTGGGGGGGAAGAAGTCAAGCTACCGTGAAACATGAATGTAAGTATTCTTCTTCCTATGAACAGTTTTCTATTTCAAGATCCAAGGCTGTGGGATCTTTCTTATGGAAGGCTACAGATATTTAATTTCTTAAGATACTTAATGAGAGCATCCTCCACTTATCAAAGCTCAGTCACAGGTCATGAGAAACGTGTGCTGAAGGGAAAGAAATCCACTTCTTGATTAACAATGACTATTCAATTGCAGTCTCATTTGTTTACTACATTTATATCGGGTCAGGGAAATTGCAGACTGGATACAATATAAATATAATAGATACAGAAATAAAATTCTACTACCTCCTCCTACAGTTGCAGATCTGGTTAAAGAGGCATCCTCCTGTACTTCGAGTTGCTTTTTAAGTTCTTCTGCAGATTGAGAATGGAGCTGCAGGAAGTCTTTTATGGCAAATGAAGCTTCTTCTTTAACGGGATTTATCATTCTCTGCAGAACTGGGATGTCTTCCTGTCGGACTCGCAAACAGAGTTTCTCCATCTCTCTCATATTGGCACGGAGTTGCTGTAACAGTTTTAAAGAGTTATTTTGTAGCTTACTATGTAGGAGGCACCAGACACCTTCAGTGGTTGCAAAGCAACTATCATCTTGATTATCTTTAAATAATCATTAAAACTGCCATTTCTAAGATTTAATAAACTAAGACTTTAAAAAAAACCCCCAAAAAACCTCGAAAGTCCCTGCTTTCAAGCAATCCCTATATTCCAGGTCACCTCTCCTCTACATCCATTTTCTTTTCCAGACTGCATTGTTTGACTGTGGCTAGTTTGCCTGTCAAAGATGCCCTGATTGCTATCAAAGCCCATGCCCCCAATAACACAATGCATGCTCCCCTTGAACCCATCCCGGGTCTCTGTTATTTTGTGACCCATTGCTATTTCTTGGTCTTTTTGTACTGCTCCTGCAGAAGAGTCATCCCATAAAAAATAAAAGCGCTCTGCAGAGAAGGGGCTTGTCCTCACTTAGGCAGCTCCACCTAGAGATGATCCTTTCTGTGTGAATGACCCATCTCCTGCTCTTCCTAAGGCAGATGACAGTCCTGTAGCTGACAGTGCTGGTGAGCAAGTCAGCAATTTAGTCACCTCAGCCAGAGCTCAAAGCTGTCCGGAGAGGAAGGCAGGGCTACTTCTGAGCACTTCTCACTTGGAGCTGCCACTACAACATGACCAGCTCGCTAAGTCTGCTCTAGCCTTAATATTTGCTTGTGTCTTGTGAGTTCACCCAGTTCTCTACCTATGGAAAAAAAATAAATGGAGGTGAGAGCTCCAAACACAGCAGTCCCTGAACAGCGCAGTGAGGCGTCATCGGGACATGCTGCCGAGTCTTTTTGGACGTGGCCTACTTTCCATAAGGGAAACAGCAGAATATGAACTTAAGATCAAGGAAAAGATGGTACCCATTATCTTCTCCAGCTAATTAACTTATCCATCATATCAGCCAGCTGCAAAACAAGGGAGAAATATTTTTTAAGTCATCCCCATCAATAGCTTGATTTTTCTGCTGTCAATTTTATCCTTCATCCTCTTCTCCAAGTAAAAAAGTCAGTTTGTTTTATTTGGGGTTTCAATTAAAGTATTTAACTAATTAATTCACTATGTAATTACTAAAGTTATTTTGGTGTTTGTGATCAATTTAGTCCTTTGCCAAAATATTTACATTGCAACAAGTTAAAATAATATTTTAATAAAAAAAAAAGTTATTTCTTCTCTAAATTTGCTTTTTCTTTTTTTTTTTTTTATATAATAGGTGACTGTGATGATTATAGCATTGCAAGATACAATCATTTGCAACCCCCAACCATCCCAAAACTATAATTTTCATTTTTTTAAATACAACTTCAGTAATAGGTGACTGTGATGATTATAGCATTGCAGGATACAATCATTTGCAACCCCCAACTACCCCAAAACTATAATTTTCATTTTTTTAAAATACAACTTCAGGGACAAAGGAGAAGGATGACTTTTTTTTGCAACACTATCTTTTTCAGAAAAAGGATGAATATATTTGTTTGATTGGAATATAAAATAAAATAAAATACATAAATATTTCTTTGTTACAGGAGTTTTGAGAAGATATAAACTATTGACAACTAGCAAGAAGAGTCTGTGTACAGGCATCTCCTGTGATATAAATTTCTGTCTACTGCAAAAATAGAGGGTTTTTATTGCCTAAGCTTTTAAAATCGGAAAACACACACAACTTTCTTTTTCTACAAATGAAGAGAAGAAATTTATAGTTTAAATTATACAGCTTGTTGGTTTAGGACAGAGTCTTTATCTAATTATTAAAAAAAAGGCTGTAATAAAAAGAATATTCATTGCATTGTATTATAAAATTATATAATAAATTATATTATTTATTGTACTATTTACCACATGTTTTGAACATTCTTCTTACAGCAGAACAGGAGAATGGATTAACACCAGTGAGTGGTTAGAAAAAGAAAGGTTTTCATCAGTAATACATACCAGGTACAGGTAATGTCTTAGAAAGGCAATACTGCTTACCTGGAAAAGCAGGAACTCAATGGAACTTATTTTATTTATATACATTAGTAGAATTAATTATTTTAACATGTATGAAAAAAATAGTAGAAATATAATTAGAGAAGAAGGAAATTAATTCAACAAATTGAAGTAACACTGCACAAGCCATATTAGACAACCAAAGAAAGAACTATTGCTTTGTAAAAATAATTTGCCAAATTACTAAAAATATATTTTATTGTATGCTTAAATTAAGAGTACTACTAGCCAATTTAGACTGCATTATTCAAGGCTAACCCCAGGTAAAAAAAAAATGGCTAACAATAAAAAAAAAGGAGATACAAAAAATAATTTTGTAAGATATGGAGCTGAATTAGAAACATGGTACCAAATAATTTTCCTTTCACATTTCTCATCTTAATCTACCTTGTTCTTCCTGTTATCTTCCTCCCATGGTTTGCCCGTAAATACTAAAAAAGGGAGAATGTCATCACTGCCATAGTCCACCATGTGCCAAAATTCTCAGTTTATAAAATCTCAAAATTTCATTTAAAAGACAAAGTGGGACTATCTAGACACAACATTTAATTATCTATTTTATGAGAATTATAAGCAGGGGATCCAGTGAAGTTGATCCTGCTGTTTTGTTTCAGGAAACACAATTATTATTATTATCTTGTGTCTGGCCATAATGGAGACAAAAAACGATACACGAAACAAAAACACGTTGTGAAACAGTGACAGTAGTGAGTTTGGGATGACCTAACAATGTTTCCAAAACAACTTTCTTTCTTTCTTTCTTTCTTTATTTATTTGAAAAGGTTAAAATTTCCCAGCAGAAAGTGAGGTAAAACATATCTCTGCTAGGGATCTGCACTTCTGCAGCTGGGGCAAATTACCAGTATAGCCAATGCACAGGTATGATGAAAACAGTTTCCATGCAGTGCCAATACAACCACCAACTTGCTGCTGTAGTTTTCAAAAATCTTGAACAGAAGCTTCACGAGATACAAACTACCCATTCTAAGGAATGGCTAAATCAGATCCTCACTTTCACTGTTCATTATTAACCTGCTCATCAAAGAGAAATACTTGTGAGAAAGAAGACAGAGGAATCAGATTATGATATTTGCCTATTTGTTGAAATTTAATTTTCGTTCTTCTTCCTTTGTGGTTTTGCAGAGGACTCTTGCTCCATTTACTGTCAATTAAACAGAAGCTAAACGGACTCAGCCTAGCAAGAAAGCTAAGCCCCGCTGCAAGGAGACATGTCTTAGGAGCTCACCAGGGTGTAACATGATAAATGTTATGGATATGCAAATGACTGTGACTTCTTTTCATACTCATTTTAATGGGACAGACTTTAATTTCTGGATAAAGCATAAAAGTGTATCACCCTCTTCCCAACTGTTTCCACTTTTAAAACCAAGCTTACTCAGCAAGGAAGGTAAGACAAAATCTTTTCATTTATGGGAACTCCCAATGTTTCCACTTTTAAAACCAAGCTTACTCAGCGAGGAAGGTAAGACAAAATCCTGTTTTCATTTATGGGAACTCCCAGGTTTTGAACTCACCAAATCCAGCCCAAAAGATACAGAATTTTTCTTCATAATATTTGCAATTTTGGTCTGTTAGTTTACAAAATCAAGTATCAGCCTTTGTTTCAAATGGCTTTCTCACAAAAACTGTAGGAAAATAAAGCTGGCAAATACCTCGGGAAGTCACCCCTTCAAAGCATGATCTGCTGTCTTTATTTCAGACAGCTGTTTATGTAATCTGGTCTTAAAACTACTTCTTTATGAGGAGCTACAACCTCCTTGATAGGATATTGCAAGAATTCATTATCCTAATTGCTACAGCATTTTCCTCATGTCTAACAGAAACCTCTCTCGCCCCAGTTCAAACCAGGTACTTCTAATCCTCTCTATCTGCAACAGAGAAAGCCAAGCCCCGTGCTCTTTGCAACCGTCTTTTTCCATGTTTGCAAACTGACAGCACACCACTGTCAGGAGTTCTTTGGGAAAAACAACTAATTTGTCAGTCTTTCCAAATAAGACTCGTTTTCTCAATTTCTGACCATTTTCATTGCTACCCTTGAACACCCCCTGATCAGTCCATAGTTTCCTTAGAAGTGTGGTGCCCAAACTGGGCCAACTACTCTACCTGGCACCTACTACCCCTGAGCAAACACTGTATGAGAAACCACACAGACTACTCTCCTGTTTATACATCCCCCTACGTTATTTGGCTTTTTGGGATCAACCACACCACTGGCTACTTTTACTCTGTGTCCCTAAAGTCCTCTTCTGCAGAAGTGCTGCCCCAACCGCTTCCCATGCTGGATCTAGACGGCCAACAATTGTCCTTGTCACCATCCAAAAACATATTGATTTTCCAGGTCTTTTCTCAACATTATTATGAATTCTAATCCTGTCTTCTCCACCAGAATCCCTTAGTCTTGCCCAGCTTCATGCTGTTTACACATCTGCTATATAATGAAACTAATGTTACGTAGCTATGAGATAGTGCTTTACTGGAGTAAGGTTCACCGTTCTTGAACAGATACACAACTGAGGCAGGGACACAGAATTTGAGCCAAATTTTTCTAAAGTGTCCACAGATTTGGATGTAAATCTGGGAGATCTATCAGGGTGCTACAGTATGTGAATAAATACAACCAATTTTTTTAAAGATGCAGATGAGAAGTGGCATGATTTTCACAAGTACTGTAAAAATCTATTGACTCTATCAACGCATCCAAAATGGAAAGAAATAGAAAAGTCACACATAATGAAGTTGCACTGCTCTACCACTCTTTCAAAAATCTTTACAAACACATTCAATAAAAGAGAAAGTAAATTATAAATTTATATCAGAAAGTAAAATACAAAAGGAGTAAAATGAGCAAAAGGAGGGCTTCATTTAATTTTTTTTTATTTAAACATCACTGTTGCTGAAAACAACCACACACATCCACCCATTTAGCTTACCTTATTACTCAGCACATGGTTTTAAATAAGCAAGAGAGGGAATGACAATAATTATTCAGTTTTTAGAATTATCTTTAAAAACACATATTCCCATATTCTGCTCCTCCTGAGGTGTTTATGAATGGGAGTTCTTCTACAGATCTCTTGGACATATGATAAAAATGACAGACTCACTAAGGGATTCAGAAGTCTTAACAGCCTTTTTCAGAAAACAAATAAACTTTATTTATACAAAATAGTAAAAATTCTTCATTTTTTTCAGTATTTGTTTTTCAGAGCATAATTTTTTTTCACTAATGGTGACAGCTGAATTTTCAAAGTAATGGAAGTCTCTGTCATTCTGCATGTCATTATTTTATATTAAGAAGTAAATAGCACCTCCAAACAAACGCATCACCTTAAACCCTCTCAAACATAAATAACATTTTTAATAAAGTCTTGCAGTAGCTTAGCTGTGCAAATGTAATCTTGCCTTCACCTATTTTCTGGATTTTGTTCAAAGTAATGTAATAAAGGATATGTGTTACAAATTTCTTGGCATAGGTCTGAGTTTAAGGATATATTTACCCTGCAGATGGCCACAAGCTGCAAGAGGGAGCTGATTTTACGTGACCCTTCACTGACACCATAAACAACCTCCTGCATCAACAAAGACCCTCATCTACCCTGCTCCTCATGCTCTCCCAGTATATTTGTGCAATATTCCAGAAAGATGCTTAATTTGAAGACTATGTAATCTTAAAAATGGTACAGAAGACCTAAGCCATACAAGTAAGCTTTGAAGAGTTATGCAAGACAGCTGACTGAAAACCACCTTACACTTGTAAACCATTTTCAGTTGAAATGAAAATCGTAAAAGTGCAAAAGGAAAAACAGATTACCATTTTTCAAGTAGCTTTCCAGATGAGAGCAACCAATGAAGAGACTACATCTGCCTAGGTATGTTTTGCAGAACAGAGTCTCCTTTTGTGGGCTGCATATAGACTAAAGCCAGATCATTCATCCACAGTATTTTTCCTTTTTTGTTCAAAGCCTCCTATGCTCTCTAGTAACTGCAGCTTTTTTCTGCCTTTGCCTATGAATACGACCAAGGCAGTCCTTAGGTGTTACAACAACATACTGCAATTTCATTGAAATTAACTTAAATCTTGCAACAATTAACTAATTGTACAGTACAGTCAGCATATATGTGGGCAAAGCCTAGCAAAACTGCATATTTATTGAGGCCCTAACATTGTAAGAAGTCCACAGACCACCCTTAAAAATGAAAATCTACAAGAGCACATTTGTGAAAACTACTACACGGTACACAAGAGCTATTTTTTCAGTACTTTTGAAAGGGTGCAATCATGCTCTATACAAAGATTTCCCTGTGTTCTTCACTTTCCTTTTTAGAAGTTTTTAATGTGGCATCCAATCACCAGAAAGAAGAGGTATATATTTATGCTCATCTATACTTCTATTATAATTTTGACCATCATCAAAAGTACAACAGAAGTAATTATTCTGGGTAAACTGAAAATTCAGAAAAATGGTTAATTATGTGTCCATGGATTAAATGTAGAGTGGCTGTGCATATATTTGTCTAAAACCTGTGGCAGATGCCTTGGGTCAATATTGACTTAGGGATTCCTAATGTATTTTTACAACATCTAATTTTGAGAGCAAAGTGTGTGCTGCAGAGAACATTTGGTATCACAATAATTAATCTGATTTCTTTGCAAACAAACAGATCACAAGTCCATTGGTAAACATTTAAACAGCTTACAGCAAACACATTCTACATGTCATATAATTTATTATCAAGTACTCCAGACTCCTAACTATTTAATTAAAACAAAGAGCTAGTCTACTCTTCTTGCATGGACTCAGACACTTATTCTCTCCGGGTATCTGAACATGAACCACTTTAATGCATAACTTCTATTCAGCAATAAGCATTAAATAAAATACAAGAAAATGTATTTTGGCTTAAAGTGTAAAAGGCAGGCTTTAGGTTCAAGACAAATATAAATGCTTCTAGAGACAAATATGAGGTTTTATTACTTAAAAACATAATCTTATTTTTACAAATGATTACTTTTTCTCTAATTATTGTTAGATTTTGTTTTGCTAAACAAGTTATACTGATAATAAAGAGAAGCCTCTCCTACTCCTCAGATGTGAAAATAGATTAGAGCACAGACATAAGTAAACACATGCTTACTACACCACACCTATTTGTTAGGATGCCATTGCTTTAATAGGACTTCCACCTTAGGAAGACTCTTTCGATATTAAGAATAAACTTACATTCAGATTTCAAAAATACGTGGTGAAAAATCAAAATAAACATTCAAACCTCCAAATAACAGGAAAATCAAGTGGATTTCATATATAACTTCTCATCACCTACACTAAAAAAGCTCATTAACACCTTCCATTACTGTAAAAAGATAAGCAAGTCCAGCTCTGCCTACTGTCTAATACTGTTGTTTGACTGGTTCTAAGTCCTTTCTGAGGTTTGGGGTTTTTTTTCATTTTTAGTCTGGTGTTATTTCCTACAGGAGTCAGTAGGGCACAGCAACAAACACAGGAATTTACAGTATCAGAATTATGAAATATAATGGTTTAGGACTGCGCTACCCCTGCTGGCAAAGCCCACTTGTCTAGATGCAGTGTAGGTCACAAAAGGTTTGTTCTAGTAACAAAGTCACGTCCCTCCCCTGAACAACACCTATGAAACCAACACAAAAAGGCCATTGCTGCTGGCAAAGATACATCTGTCCCCAGAATTTTGCCAGCACAGCATGTTATAACCACCAGCTGCTATATCTTTGACAGCTAAATTTGCAGTGCAGATCTGGTCTTTGTGTTTTTCTGTATCGATAAATCTTCTTTGTCTGTGTGCTATGTAGCAGTGTGAAGGCTGATGTCTGGCATTACCTTTTGCATCATTTTCATCAAGACATGCATTTTTTTTAGAAACAGATGTGAGATTCCTTGTGTGCTGAGTTACAGGTGACTATGCATGAAGTCACTGAGATGACAGCACGCTGACAAATATCTCTGCTATTTCCTCCTTTGATGATATTACACATCTAACAAGAGAGTTGCACACCAAACTAGTTAGATGTTCTGTGTTTGGTCTGAAACCATGCTTTAAAAATAAAGAGTATCTTTATTGCAATTCGTGTCTTCTAATTTAGTAATGTAAGAGGACAGTTTGCAAAAGACCGGAGTCTCCAAACATCTGTCTGGTCAAGAATCCTGAAACGTTTCTGACTGTATTTGCCTCATAGGACACAACTAGGAAATCCCTACCTTTTAAATTCAGTAAAGCAATACCATGTACTTGTCAAATCCATCTGTCAGATATACGACTCTGTGAAGATCCATCCCTGAGGTAACCAGCACTATGTATGCAGTTTAATTCCACTAATATCACAGTCATTTTAATACCCTTACCTGAACTGTTCGTCCTGCGTTAATGTGCTCTTCGTGCAATCTGTCCCAGAGCCTGCATCTTTGATACTAAAATAAAGGAAAAACACTCATATAATTGCTATTTTTACCAACTGGCTATGCTTAAAAAAGGAACCTTCAGTAAATAATCACCTTAATTTTCCAAAATTTACAGTAAAGAAGCTGAGTCACAGGCATTTCTAGTGCAAAATTGCAGAGATAAATGGCAATGCATTTTGTGAATAATTTTGTACAACCTATTTTACTGAACTGCAGATAACCACAGTTTCAGTATCAGTTTTAACAACAAAGAGATATTGCAGCCTCCTGATACTGCTGTGGCATAAATCACTTGATGGTCAGCAAAACAAAGGGAAGGAGAAAAAAGGAATGGAACAGGGGATAAGCAGTACTGGTCACAAGGACAAAATGGTATCTGATATTATTCACAAAGAAAATTGTATTCATTACACAACACTGCTGTTCACATTTACACTTACCATTTCCATATAGTTATAAACACAGTTACAACAGTTACAGGAACCATCAGGGCAGATCTGGCACCTGCACGAGGCTCCACTAACTTCAGTGGGAAACCACCCATACAGCACTTTCCACAGGACAGAGATCAGAGTAATTACTTCATTAGCAGAGAGCAAGTTTTGCAAAAGAACTGTGTATGATCACATATAAACCTTTTCATCATTAAAATAAATCAATCCCTGCTATTGGCAGTGGACGTAAATAATACAGAGACAGTATAATGAAAAAGAGTAGTAAAATAATGGAAGTAGAAGCTGTGATTCCTGGAATATGTGCTGAAACAATCAAAGAATGTATTTACAAAACTAGATGATATTAGTTGTTTTAATTGCTTAAATTACAAGACAAAATATTTACCGTGATTCCTGAGGTATTTTGATATATAGCTTAACTCCTCAATTTCTTAATATGCTTTGTTATCAATAAAAAACTTTATCTACAGCCTACATCTTTCCTTAATTATTTTCATCATTTTAGAGGCCACAGCAACAAGGACTACAAGTTACTCAGCTTCCTAAGATACAAGAATTTTGAAGTTACTTTTTATTTTCAGAGAAAAAACTTTTTTCACGTTAGAATTTTGCAGTGCTATGGAAGAAAACAGCTTTAGTGTCCAATTAAGTCATATTAAGGTGATTTTTCTAGGAAACCACCAACTTCTGCATAAATTATTATGCCATTAAAATTGCTGACTTTGTCCTTTAAAATAAAATGGGAAAAAAGAAATCTGTATCAACAGCAGATCTTCCAATTCAGTCACCCCTGAAAGAGTACTGAAACAGGAATTTCTGAGGGTGGAAGAGAAGGGGTTTGGGGAAAAAGTACCTTTTCATTTTCAACTGACTGTAATATATTGTCCACACACCAAATAATTAAAAAATCCTGTTTTCCAGTTAAGAACAAGATGAGTGCCCCAGGAAACCTCTGTTGCTATTTAGAATTCCTACTAGAAATGCTCATCACATTTATCTGCTTTATATGTTTAGAAGTTTTATTACTTTGCTTCAAAATTCTTAGTATGCTAGTGATGACCTCAAAGAATGCAATGACTTAATACACCCAGAGCAATGACATTCATGTGGTCAGAAAATTCCTCCTTGTTGACTTCTCTTTGTCATCCAACACAAAGTAGGCCATGCTCCTGGGCAATGTTCACTCTAGGGGACTCAAGGACAGCAGACTTTGAGAGGAGATGGTATTGATGTTATTTATCACTAACAAATACATGTAAAACTAAGGGACATCCATGAAGTAAAAAAATCTATGATTTCTAACCTGTTAGAGCAGGTCCAGAGGAGGCCACAAAAATGATCAGAGGGATGGAACACCTCTCCTACGAGGAAAGGCTGAGAGAGTTGGGGTTGTTGAACTTGGAGAAGAGAAAGCTCCAGGGAGACCTGACTGCAGCCTTTCAATACTTAGAGGGCTTAGAAGAAAAACAGAGACTTTTTTCTAAGGTCTTTAGTGACAGGACAAGCAGTAATGCTTTTAAACTCAAAGAAGGTAAATTCAGATTAGACATAAGAAAGAAATATTTTACAGTGAGGGTGGAGAGACACTGCAACAGGTTGCCTAGAAAAGTTGTGGATGCCCCATCACTGAAGTGCACAAGGTCAGGCTGGATGGGGCTTTGAGCAACATGATCTAGCAGAAAATAGTCCAGCCACTCTGCCATAGGTAGGGCTAGATAGTTTATAAAGGTCCCTTCAAACCCAAACCACTCTATGATTCCATGATTCTGTGATATTTAATCATAACTGTGCTATAGCCAAATAGTTGGTATTCCACATCAGAAATACAAATCAGAAGGTTACTTTTAGACACTCGATCTCTTTTTCTCCCATTCTCTTTTGAGAGCTCTTTTTAGAAGGAAACCTTCATGCTTATGCTTTGGATCCCTTCCATTTCTTCTTGAAAGTATCCCATGGATATGGAGATAACTCAAAGCTTTTCATAATACCCTCTGCATTAATTTTTGTAGCAGGTAGTACTCACCAACATTCTAAAAGCTCTACAACAAATGTCTTATACAAATGCATACACTGTGATGAAGACTGCAGCAAGGCTGAGGTATCTTAATTTCTCATTTTGTGTCATCATTATGTATCTTCCCACCACAATAATGGTGCCCAGCCAAAGGTAGGAAGTGTTTTGCACAACATCCTTTAACTTTTTCATAGTCACAGGAAATTAAATTAAAACTGAGAGCAACAGACAAAAGGATGCCATGCCTGAGAGCACTTTTTTTTTCAAGGATTGTTGCATATCACTGACAAAGTTTAGGGCAGCATGCTAAAATCTCTGCCTTCCGGTGTACCATGAGAATCACTTTCAACTAACAGAGGCTAACAAAAAGTTGTAACTTTTCTGGATGCATTTTATTCCCTGTTTTGGGGAAAGGCCACCCAATCCACAGAATGTGCTTTAGAAAATAACAATTCTTTGGGGAAAACACTGAAAGAAAAAAAACCAAAAACCAAATACAGACTACTGATTTCTTTAGGATGTTTTAAGTCTTCAGAAACTGTCATATGTAAAGTTGGACTCTCAAATAGTTGAGAAGAAAGGACAATGGATTTATGGTAGCCACTTCCTCTGAAAAGGTGTACTCAAGGTCAAATTTCATTATATATTTCTTTTATAGTTTCTTCAAACAGTGATTTAGTAGATTAATTGTTTGGACTATCTCTGGAACCTAAGGTTTAAATCAATATTCATGAAATGAGGTTAGAGATATTGGCTTCATCGTAAGTAAATAATGTTGCTGCTCTAAGCAATTTGACATAATTAGTGATTTTTGCTTAAAAGTAGCCTGTAAAATATACAAGACCAGATTCTACAAAATTATCTTTTTACCTTTAAGGATGTTTGGTTTACATGGCTGAAAGTTAATTTTACAATAAGTATTTTAGAGAAAACCATTTAAGCTGCTGATGTGGACAGCTCATGAAAGTACCGTAACACATTCATTATGGCTAAAGTGCATGTAAAAGATATAAAATGCAAATTATCATGGAAATATTTCAAACAAGCTATTGCTAGTGTTCTCATAATCTAATACTATCCAGTGGCAGATTTCAAATTCTGATTTGCCATATTGTTATTCTCACCTCATAAATCTAGCAATAAAATAAACTTTGGAATATTTATAGTTCTTACAGTCAGAAAAGTATTTAAAAAAAAAGAGAAACTTTCAAATTTTAAGAATATTACACTGAGTGTGGACTTTTTAAAGAATCTGGCATTTAGGCATTATTTTTATACTCAGATGTATTACTTCTCATAAATGTTTGTGTCATATTTTTTTGTCAATACACAGAAGCTCTGAAGTCTTCAGTACTGCTGAATACCTTCTGGTATAGTTACCAACTGTTTATTTAAAGGTTTTATCCATAGTTACTTTTGTCTAATAATTTTATTAATTACTAATTCAAATATCAAATCTGCAAATACCAAATGCAGAAATTTTTAATAGTAATTTGAAATCAGAAAGACAAATCTATACTAAATGTTGCTACTACTTCTTGCTTTCATAAAAGTGCTGTTCTAGAGGAAGTGCAGGCAACACTGTAATTGCAAGAGCTATGTTTACAGTTATTTAAGGATTATTCTGATCTGCAAATTTTATTATGTTGACTGAACAGATCATACACACTGATACCATCAACAACCTGAAAATCTCAAGAAATGTCCAAACCAGATAATTTAGATTGCATCAGATATTTACATTCAAAATATAAAATTCAACTACTCAATAAAGCATCTTGGTATTCCAGTGTGGTCACTGAATGCCATTACAGAAACACTGCATAATTAAACTATGGCTAAGCAGGAGTTTCTGTGACAATGCTTTGAACAAAGTGTTAGATCAGAACTAACCTAAAGACTCATTTCAGCCTGAGTGCTAATATTTTCTGCATTTTCTTCTAGACACTGAAAACTATTCTTGCAACAATCTCCCCTTCTGACTGCAAAACAGAAATGCTTTGTGCAAATAAGTTGCTGGGCCAATAAAGACTTCAGCTCACCAACACATCACTGAATTAAGTGGAATGTATTTCATCCCTTCCCTGACAATATGGTAACACTATCTGGCTAGATACAGCATAACTATTCCTTTTCTAAATACTTAAAAGATTTTCAGCAGGGTCAACCAGTAGCTGGCTAGCCCTCCTCATTGACCAGGTTCTGCAAAATGCAGCAGTTCCCAAGATCATCTCTCACTCTGCTAAGTACTACACAGGGTAGTAACTGATCATGTCTCTGTCTCTCTTTACAGCACCCAAGGGGAAATGGGTTTAAACTGAAAGAGGGGAGGTTTAGATTAGATATTAGGAAGAAGTTCTTCACTGTGAGGGTGGTCTGGCATCCAGGTAATGTAATGAATTATACAAATACAGAATGACAAAGAGTAAACAACATGCTGTGACTGAAAAAATAGGTCCTCTCATTCAGAAGTTATTGCTTCAGGCAAATATTATACTAGTAGTCTTTTCAGTCTGTGAATATTGCAGTTCATATTGCAGGACAACCAGATGATCAGGCCCAGCCAGCATGGGTTCATGAAAGGCAGGTCCTGCTTGACCAACCTGATCTCCTTCTATAATCAGGTGACCTGCCTAGTGGATGAGGGCAAGGCTGTGGATGTTGTTTACCTGGACTCTAGCAAGGCCTTTGACACTGTCTCCCACAGTGTTCACCTAGAGAAGCTGGTGGCTCAGGGCTTAGACAGGTGTCCTCTTCGCTGGGTACAAAACTGGCTGCATGGCCGAGCCCAGGGAGTTGTGGTGAACGGAGCTAAACCCACTTGGTGGGTGGTCACTAGTCGTGTTCCCCAGGGCTCAGTTTTGGGACCATCTCTCTTTAATGTCTTTATCAATGATCTGTTTTGACTGCCCTGTGCAATAGAAATATGGACAGACTGGTATCAGTCCAGCAGTGTTACCAAGATGATTGCCAAGCTGGAGCATGTGATGGATGAAGACATGTTCAAAGATTTGCATTCGTTCAGTTTGTCACAGAGAAGAACACTGGAGTAATTCCTGTTGCTTTCCTTGATTAACAAGGCCAAGTGCTGGGTCCTGCACTTGGGTCACAACAGCCCCATGCAACACTACAGGCTTGGGGAGGAGTGGCTGAAAAGCTGCCCGTCAGAAAAGGACCTGGGGGTGTTGGTCAACAGCCAGCTGAACATGAGCCAGACAAGAAGGCCAACAGCACCCTGGCCTGTATCAGAAGAAGTGTGGCCATTAGGACCAGGGAGGTGATTGTGCCCCTGTACTCAGCACTGGTGAGGCCACACCTCGAGCACTGTGTTCAGTTTTGGGCCCCTCAGTGCAAGAAGGACATGGAGTTGCTGGAGCGTGTGCAAAGC